TCCAAGAAGACCAGGAGGTTTTCTACATTAAAGCTTTTCATCCTGGATATGTTAATAATCTCAACATTATAATTTCAACCTAACAGTTGCAGTGTAAAAGATATGTTGCCCTCATCCCAATACCCATTAGAAGATTCCACATTCTTCCCTCAAAACTACGAAGTTGGCAAAATGAATTTCTCTGCACTGACCTTTTAGAGCCATTTAGTTTAAGCATCTTCTTAGGCAATCACCTGAAGATTGTGCATGCAGTTATTCAAAACCCAGTTTATAAAAACATTAATCTGACTCATTAGTAGGCACCATAGATAGCCCTGTAAGCAAAGAAGACTACACTCAGAAAGGACTGCCTACTCAACAGTGCTGGTTTTGGTTTGGTTTGGTTTTCTGTGCTGTATTAGTCCATTTCTGTTGCTTATAACAAAATACAGAGAACTTGGTGATTTGTAAAGAAAAATGAAATTTATTGCTTACAGTTTCAGGGGCTAGGAAGTCCAAAGTCTAGGGAACACATATAGTGAGGGTCTTGGTGGTGGCGACAGTGACCCAGGGGTCTCACATTCAAGGTGGTGGAAGGAGAGAGAGCAAAGAGACAGACTCTCTTCTTTTTTAAAGCCCTCAGAAACACACCCCTGACCACCATTTTTAATCCATTCACTACAGCATAGCCCTACAATCTAATCACCTCTTCGAGGCTCCACTTTTCGATTACCATAATAGGATTTTCCATCCTCTTAACAGTCACAGTGGGGACAAAGTTTCCACTACATAAAACTTGGAGGATACAATTCAAGCTTCAGTGAGTTTGGGGGGACATAATTCAGTCTACTACGTATACTTTTTATCTCTATACTCATTTTGGAGTCTTTCCTCCTTTCTGGCTATTTTAAGGCCAGTACAGGAAACCCATTTAAGCCATTTTCATGTTGAGACTGGGTGATTTGGAAGCTTTGTGTGGTCATATTCATCTCAGGAATGGTCTCAGAAATTTTACATCCTTGTTTTAAAAATGTTGACGTCAGTGAGGACCCAAAAATGTCACAAAGAAGCAGCACATTTAGTGGAAAAGACACTCTTATAGGAGTCAGAAGACCTTAGGATGTTCCAGCTCTCCTGCTTGAGCTAGTGCTTTGTCCTCCTTGAGCCTCAGTTTTCTTAAGAAGTCTATCAAGTGGGGGTAGTAATATAGTTTTCCATATAGTGAATCGGGTTTTCTCATACCCTGCTGGTGGGCCTGTAAATTGATTGTCTATCAAGTGGGGGTAGTAACATAGTTTTCCATATAGTGAATCGGGTTTTCTCATACCCTGCTGGTGGGCCTGTAAATTGATTCAAAGTTTTTGGGATGTAATGTGGCTATCCATATCAAGAAACTTAAAAATATACATACCCTTTGACTCAGTAATTCCACTCTGGAAAGTAATCTGAAATTTGGCAGTGATTTGTACACAAATTGTTCATCATAACATGGTTTATAATAGTGAATATTGAAAACAACCAAAAGTTCCAAAAATATTCCACTAGTAGTATGTTATTCAGCCATTTAAAAAATGATGTTTGTGTATCCAATCAGACCTCTAGAATCTAGATCATTTTACACAAAATGCATAGTTCAAAAAAAAACGTTATATGACACCACAGGGATATATCAGCAAAATTCAGTTTGTGGGAAAGTGTATAGAATAAACCAGGTTTTATCAAGAAATAAATTTGAAAGGGAAGTTTAAAAACAAAGGATGGAGAGATAACCTAAAGATTAAAAAGAGACTTAAGACATTAACCAGCCACAATGCGTGGTTCTTATTTGGATCCTAATATTTTTAAAAAATTATTTAAAATGTTAAGACATTTATGAATATTTGGAAGTTTGAATACTAGTTATATGATGATATTAAGGAATTATTGTGATTTTTCAGTAATCACATGTAATAATGGTATTGTGGTTGTTTTTTATAAGTCCTTATTTTTTTAGAGATATAAACTGAAACAGTTACAAATGAAATACAGCTGACCCTTGAACAACATGGGTTTGAACTGCATGGATATATTTATACACTGATATTTTTCAATAAATATATTGGAAACTTTTCTCTTATTTTTCTAATGACATTGTCTTTTCTCTAGCTTATTTTATTTTAAGAATACAGTATGTAATATGTATAACATACACAATTTGTGTTGATCAATTGTTCATGTTATCAGTAATGCTTCCAGTCAACAATAGGCTTGCTTTTAGTAGTTATGTTTTGGGGATGTCAAAAGTTATATACAGATTTTCAATGGCATGGGGGTTGGCACCACTAAGCCCTGTGTTGTTCAAGGGCCATCTGTAATATGATGCCTTAGATTTGCTTAAACATTATGCAAGATGAGTGTGGATGGGTGAGATTGGCCATGGGTTGGTGGTGATCAGGGCTGGGTGATGAATGCATAGGGATTTATTATCCTATTCCTGGCTTGTGTTAAAACTTTTCAATAATGTAATTTTTAGATTTAAAATGTAATGTTTAGGGCCGGCCCGGTGGCGCACTGCTACAGTGCGCTGCTTGGGAGCGCGGCACTGTAATGAAATTCAGTGTAATGTGAATCATGTGAAGAAAGAATCAAATAGAAAAATGTGAAAGGAAACTTATCAAACTATGAGTATCTTTTTTTTTTTTCCTTTTTGTCTTTTTTCGTGACCGGCAACAGATCGCAACCCTCAGTGTCGCGCCCGTACCGGGCCGGGACCGGCAACGGGATCGCAACCCTCAGTGTTACACCCACACCGCACTCAGCCAGTGAGCGGCCGGTCTGTATGTGGGATCCGAACCCTTGGCGGGAGCGCCGCCGCGCTCCCAAGCGGCGCACTGTAGCAGTGCACCACTGGGCCGGCCCAAACTATGAGTATCTTTAAAAGGTGAAATTATAGCCAACTTTTCCTACTTTTTCTGCTTTTCCTTACTATATAAATTTCTATAATAAGCCTGTACTTTATAATCATAATAAATAATTTTTCACTTGCTGTAATTAGACCTCTTTTAGAAACCTAACGTGAAATAACTTTAGCCAAAAAGGATAGAAAAATGGCTTGTGTACCTGGGAAAGTCAAGGTTTGGAGCTAGGTGCCAAGGCTCTAAGGCTGTTATTAGAGCTTTGTCTCTTTTTGCTCAATTCTACTTATCTCTACTTGGCTTCATTCTATAAGCAGATGTTCTCCATGTAACAAGTAAGTTGGCTATCTCTCTCTCAGTTTAGATATCCCCAATAAAAAGAGATTCTTCCTATGGTCATATATTAATCCTACAGAAGATGTCGATTGGTCCTCCTTAGATCATGTTCCTATCCTAGAGCCAGTCAAAATGGCCAAGGTGATGAGTACCCTGGCTGTCCTGGAGCACACGCTCACTCCTGCTTTATCAGGAGGGTGCCATATTTAACAATCCCCGCCCACCCCTCCACAAGACCATGTGGAATGGGAGAGGGGAATGTGCTGGATAGACAAAAAACCAAAGCTTCCAGCCTCCTCTCTCGTGGTGTTCTTGGGATAATTCATTGATATGATTAAGGTAAAACACTTTCTAAATTGAAAAGTTCTGTGAAAACACGAGCCACTTTTTTAGAAGTCTAATTCTTTAAATCAATAAGATCTTCTATGTGTATATGTATCACTCTGTCAGTTTCCTTTATTAAAAAACAATAGGGCTGGTGGTTGTCATTTCATACTTGTTAATTTTAAAACTGTAGGAGATGCTCAGTAGCCCAGGTAGATACATTTCCTACTGTAAAAGGAGAAAGAGAACATTATTTCACGCCTTCTAAGTAGTAAACTTGGAGGAGGTTCCAAACATGTATCATTCATCAGATTCTCCTTCCTTTTACAAAAAGGTATTATGGTAAATGAATAGTGATGGAGATTGCAGTGCACTTGTAAGCAGAACCATCAGTTCCTTTGCACATATTACTAAAAGTTAATGTGTTGATTTTCAGAACTGCTTTATTTGCAGTCCTACCCTTCTCGTACGTAAATGCAATAGCACTGAATCTGTATAAAATCTCTAACCTTAGGTTTATTTATCTACAAGGTCATTTTTATTTATAGTCTTAAAATATTCTTTTCAATGATTGCTGCTTTCTTGACTAATAAAAGAGCTACTGTTGGGGCCGGCCCAGTGGCGCACTGCTACAGTGTGCCGCTTGGGAGTGCGGCGGCGCTCCCGCCGAGGGTTCGGATCCCACATACAGACCAGCCGCTCACTGGCTGAGCGAGGTGCGGGCACAACACCAAGGGTTGCAATCCCGTTGCCGGTCCCGGTCCGGTACGGGTGCAACACTGAGGGTTGTGATCCGTTGCCGGTCACGAAAAAAGACAAAAAGGAAAAAAAAAAAAAGAGCTACTGTTGTTGGTTTGGTTTAACAAACAGCTCTAGAAAACTGCTTATTGGTCTAAAAAGATGAATGTGACCTGTTAAATGTTATCATCAACCCTCCGGCCTAGTATTTTTCATAGCAGAAAGCAGATTCTCAGTATTGGTAATGTTTAATGGTGATGGAATTTTTTAAAATGGAGAACCTATAGTTGGCTTTAGAAGTTTCAGTTGTAACAAGAGTGTCTGGATAGCATAATCATATCTTCTAAATCCGTGCATTCTGGTGAATTTGGCTCCCTAGTACTTTAAAAAGTACCACTTTTGAAGAGCACAGAAGTCATTATAAATTGTTTCACTTATTGTCAGACTCTTTAGACTAGTAAGAAAGATCAGATAATCATTTTTATTCATTTTTCTTGAAAAGTAATATCAGAATAACCAAAAGAGGGAAAGAGAAAAAAATTGCTTACAGGAATAGCTGATTATTAAGGACTAAATATAAGGACATTGTTACTTGAGATGTTTTACTCAAACCTGTGTTGTGTCTGCTTATTTAGGTGTCCAAGCCTGTATATAGTAAGAAATATCATTGTAGGTAAAGATGTTGTTACCCTATCCAGATTGATAACATACATTTCTCTCCCATTCTAGCTATGTGGTGAATATAGGTCTGATTGACAAACTGTGTGGCTGCTTCCTCTCGGTGCAAGGCCCAGTGGATGAGAATCCCAAGATGGCCACATTTCTGCAGCATGCCACAGGATTCTTACATGGAATGTGTACACTGTGTTTTGCTGTCACTGGCAGGTAAGGCCTCTACTTGATCTCAATCTAGACAACTCTTGGAACATCTCTTAATTTTGCCCATCTTGGGGTCATTTCATAGGGATGCAGGTGGTCATCTTGGCGCCCTTTCCTCACTGTTCTTTCTCTGTCTTTGGCTTTTATATTGCAACATGTATTATATTTCTCATTTTTCCAGGCCACATGCTCCTGCCGGAGTCTGTTTTTCTTTTTGGTTTTATAATCTTGACTATTATTGCTGGAAGAGACCTAAGATGTCATCCAGTCCCTCTTCCACTGAGATCCAGAGAAATCAAGTGATTCTCCTTGTGTCAGTGAGTCAGTGACAAAGGCTGTATAAACCAGATCAAGCCAGGTCCTCAGCACAACAGCACAGCCCAGCAGTGCTTATGACCATCGTTTAAGTGCTTCCAATTATACTCTCCTGGGTTTATTTATTTTCCCTCTGTCCCTTCTTCCAAAGAACCTCCTGAATGAGGGAATGGAGTCATCCAAAAACAATAGCTCCCTGAAGATGCACATGACCCACGAGCATGGTTAAAGCCAATGTGCCGAGGACTACTACTAGCCTGGTTAGCTGTTTGCCCCACCTCACCGCATCCCACCCTGTATACTGTCCTCAAAAGCGATAATTCTCTAGGAAGAACAGGAGAAACCCTCTGGGTGTTCTTTTCTTTCCCCTCCCTATCAAATAAGAGTCATTTACAAGAAAGACTCAGTGTTTCTGATAGGAATATGATATATCCCTCAGGCATATTGAGGATGTTCAGTAAAATAATTTTCTTATAACTAAATTCTAAACAGCACTTATATGTATTATATATTTTCATTAGTATGTATTATGTACTTTTTAGGGATTTGTCAAGAAGAAAACCAGTTATTTGAAACTTCTAAAATCTAGCTTCTTAAAGAAGCGTTATCCATCTATATTCAATGTACACAGAATGCCAGTGACTATATTCAGAATATTTTGAGAAAGAATTTATTTTCCAAAATGGACATCCTCAACGCTTTTTAGTCTGTTGTACATAGGGCCCCTAAGCCCACCTATTTTTCCTTATTCTTACCCAGTGCCTTACTTCCAGTCACATTTCTAGGAAGATTAAGATGGTCTGAAATGTCAGGGAAGCCAAGCATGCCCTATATTCAGTGTTCCAAGTTAGTCTGTTCCCATCTGGAAATGCAAACAAAGCCTACCTTCCAGAGATTAGATGAGAACTCAGGAAGTGACTGTATGTGTGTCTGTGACCTAAGTAGGATCAGGTAGTACCATACTATACAGGGGCTGGCAGAAGTTACAAGGCTCTGTCTAGGGCATTGGCACCTGCCCACTTGGAGGCCACCATGTGCCCAACTGGTTCCCATGCGGTTGCCAGGCCACTCCCTGGAAGTGTCCTCTCGTACAGGAGACCCCTTCTGGCCCTGGCTCTTTTTGTAAACACAGCATTACAGACCTGCCAGCATCTCAAGTCTATCACCTGTATTCTTTTCTTGAGTCCAGATGAATATCACAAACATAAGCATTTCCATATGTGGTTGATGCACAGTTTATGGGCTTCAGCTTCACTTACACACAGATTCAATCACTTGAAATCTTGAGAGAAACCTAAAGGTCATTCACAGTTGCTCATTTTTATAGAGAAAGCAAGTAAGCCAAACTGACTTGAATTAGTACCCAAGATTCCCAGGTTGGTGCTCCCTCCTATATAATTGGATTTATATTATTCAAAACGTGGGAGCATATATTTCATTTCTTTGAAGATTTTGTCAATCACGTGTGGAAAATAGGATCCTCTTCTCTTTAATGCACACAGTAATGCTCTTGTTCCGAAGATACTCACTGAACATCTGCCTTGTGCCAGACTCCAAGCTGGGCAATAAAGATACTGCCCTCAGGGATCCCAGAGCCTAGTGTGGAATCAGACATATAAACTAACAGCTAAAATAGAATAGATGCAGCAGAAGAAAATGTGCACAGAAGAGGAAGTAAAGCACTCCCAGAGGAGGTCAAAAAAGGCTTCAGTAGGCTGCAATTTAAAGGATCCAGGACAAGTGGAGGGAAAAACTCAGTTGAGAAAAAGGGTATAATATGTGTACTGTATGGTATATCAGATGTTATTAATGCCTTTGGCTCACCTGGAGGTCACCTGTCCACAGCTTCCTGTATTTCTATGCCTGAGGATGTTCTCTGGCAAGGAGCTATTTGCAAAAGTGCAGGGAAGTTAACACCTCCAGGAATGACCCTCAGACAATAGTTAGTGGATAATACCCCAGCTTCCCTAATCTTCAGTGGGACAATTCTGAAGTATGTTCTGTACAGTCTCTCGGAGGGTCCCTAGTGGTAACCTGTTCATTAACACATCCTTAATTGACTTTTCTCTCTTCCTTGTTTCCCTTCTCTACTTCCTCAAAAATAATCTATTTTCATCCATGTCATTGTTTCAGGATCTGCTTTTGAGGCAACTCAAACCAAGATATGGATATGCTAGACTTTGTGTCATGTTCAGTTTGGTGCAGCGCACAGTTGGGTAACTGTGGAGAGTGATGGGAGATGAGGTGTTAAGTGAGCTCCATAAATATTAGTTCTTTGGAGGCTGAAAGGTAGCCAAGAGCTGTGAAAGACCACTGAAATTGTTTAAGAGGGAGTAACAGGATCAAATTTCTATCATAGAATGATCACTCTTGAAAAGTATAAAGATGACTAGAATGGCACAAGCTTAGAGGCAGAGGATTAATAAAGAGGCTTTTGCATGAACCAGGTGAGAAATGTTAAGGACCTGTAGGGTCAGTGGAAACAGAGAGGAGCAAATACATTAAGAGGAGATAGATTAAATGTAGGGAGATAGCAAAGGGCTTGAGGATGTGCGAGGAGAAAGGAGGAATCTAGAATGACTACCAGGGTGCTGACTTGAAATTATTGAATGGTAAATGGTATAGTCTCCAAATCAGGGAATATAAGCAGTTTTTCATACAGGAAATATGAGTTTGGTCCAAGACATGCCTAAGAATTATTATATATAATATAGGATTGTCATATATGAGCACATGTACAAAGGTACTTTAAAAATTCATGAAAAAATAGAAAAGATAATATGAATCATTCCATGAACTCTTTGAAGACCCCTTGTATGTATAGACTTTGGTCTACTTGGATAATCCTTAGGTATGTCTAGGATCAAACTCATATTTTCTCTGTGAAAACTTTATATTTTCTAATTAGGAGACTATACCATCTATCACTAAAATGCTATAGTTAGTATATATTTTACACATACAATAAATTTTATATAGATTTTAAAACAAAATTTTATATTTATTTTATATATTAGAGATATGAAATATAATTGTTTCTATGTACGTATACAACTGGATTTTAAATAAATCAAGATTTACACTTGGTGGTTTTCAGGAATTCTTAATCTTTTTTTCCCCCAATATAATTTCCTTTTCCAACCTCAGTTGCTTAGCAAATTTCTATTAGTAAGACTTGTTACAAATACAGATTATTCTAGAAAAAGGGTCCAGGTGGTTTCTGCTTAGTTTACCTAGGAAATTCTTAGCAGTATCAGTGTAAGCTACTTCTCTGAAAGAAGTGAGAAAAAATGACTCCTAATTATTGTTTTTCCTCTCATCCTTCAGTCTCACAACATTTCCTGAACACCACCAGATCACAGGAATACAGGGAGTTTTTTCTAGGTCTTCAGATTTGTTTACCTCTAATATTCACAGATTGTTTTGTACTGCTTTCCATTTCTTCATGGAAATTATGTTTCTAAACTGTGAACTATAGGGACCTGTTAAAGCATTTTGTTACATGCGTTAAACAGAATTCCTGCTCTAGGTCACAGCCTTGTCTAAGAAGAAAGGTAGTGTGGTTTTTGCTTTATTGGAATAATTCACATAATGCCTGTTTTGGCTACCAGAAGCAAGCCAGAGAGTCAAGGAAGGCTTGTCCTCAAAGCCCTTTTGTGACTGGCAAGAATAAAAGACAAAGAGGAGCCTTCGAGGCCTTCAAAAATTGCCTCTTGTGCTGGCAGACCCTGAGATAATTAAGCGGACCAATTGATAGCACCGGCTTTGAGTAAACACTCTGCAGTCTGCCGGTGGCCCAGTCTTTGTGGTGGTGATTACAGCAGGTCTGCCTTTGCACCACTCTCCTATTGTGCCCCTAATCTTCTAATTTTTACCTAGATTTTCTGAAAGACAATTTGGGTGTCAGAATTTGTGCTGTTAACTTTTGCTTCCACATGTGGGAGAAGAGCACTAGTTGATGACTTTTCTGCCAGGCTTGGTTTTGAAAAATGAACTTGTATTTCTTTATGTAAAAATTAAAATTGTAATCCTCTGGTGAAAGGATTGGTTTTATGTTAGGATTACTCCAGAATTTTAATATGGCAATTGTTCGCAAACTATAATTCTGAATAACCTAAGCAAAATTCAGCTTTTAAAAATGCCTATTTCTTTGGTCTTTACTGTTATCAGTTTTTCATTCTTGGTCCTACAAGAAGTAAAGAAAAAAGGATAGTTTTCAAACCTCAGGGCGGCAAATCAACTGCCGTAATTGGCTGAAGCTCATTGGGTCCCCCTAAGGCGCAGAACTAATAGGATCAAAATAGTAATAAGTGATTATAAATTGCAAACAACACAGGCCTTTAACTTAATTAGCAGTCATTTACTGTATTCATAACTGTACTAGGCACTGTAGCAAATAGGCTGGGGGACAGTGGACCCACAATAAAAGAGTTTACAGTTCTTAAAATGACACTGAAGAGAGAGAGGAGTTTGTAAAATCTGGCTAATTCTGGTTGTTTGGAGAAGACTGTTCTGAATTCCAGATTATTTTTGCACAAAAAGAAGTTTGTTATATGTATTTGTGTTTTTCATTTTAACTTCCATAAACTACACTAACAAAATGTGTTCTAGCCAAAGTCCTGGAAATCTGTGCTATAAAAAGATGAGAATGATTCGTGATTTAGCCCATTAATTATGTGGATATAAATGAG